TCGGCCCTTCTGAGGAAGGTCTCCTGTCCCCATGGCTGCTTCTTGCTTCCCATGCCCAGCCCAGATCAGGAACCAAATAACAGAAGAGATTTGGTCCAGCTGAAATCAGTACCCAGAAAAACGGAGGCTTGGCTAACAGACCCTATGTCTAAATCTAGCCTAACAACAGGAATGCTCAGAGCCTTCACAAGGATGTAAAGTGATCCTTTTCATTAATATTTACAGTGTAAATTAAGATTATTGTTAAAATATTAAATTTGACAGCAAAATAGTTTTCAAATTAATTAAATTTGGCTAATTTGAAATAAATAATTATTTAAAAAGTATTAACAAAAATGTTCATGGTAAACATGCTATGAACCTGAAGCATGTTCAGGCTCATTGTTTTTGCGTGCAAAAAATTAATATTTAAAGCTATCTAGACTGCATTATAAAATTTCCAAGAAGTCTAATTAAATCAAAAAAAAGGGGGATAGTGGAAGAATACCATGTAAGGAAAAATATCCTGTAACTAAATTACATCTAGAAAAATTTCTTTTTTCATTTTGTAATGCTAACAGCAAGACACCCATGAAAAACATATGTGGTGTCAAAATAAGCCAAAGGAAAATCATTTGGGCAAATATAAAAAGGATTCCCCAAGTAAAATTTCAATTATTAACCTTTGGTCGAGAATATGTTTGTATATTTTCAGAGAACAACTCCAAGACCATGTGGATTCCTGCAACAAGGGATCCAGGAGAGAAACTGAACAGATTGCTCCAGCCACAAAGACAGGAGAGACAGTTCAGAGATGGAGATGGTGAAGACGCCTTGCCATGCTAGCAGTCAGCAGCTGTGCGTCTCTGCAGGCTGCCCAGGACCAGACCAGAAAGGACCGGACCTGCATTTTCCACCATCCAGAACCAACATTTCATTGCTGGCGTATACACATGAACTTTTGGACATTGAAACATGGACTCAGAACTTTTGGACATTGAAATTGGGACTTGATTATTTTTTAAAGAAAAAATAAGGGGGAGATGTGGGAAACTGTTTATTGCCTTCACTATCTGATAAGCATAGACAGAGCACTCCCCGAAACCCCCCGAAGGCTGGGTGCCTTTGAAGCCCTAGCAAAGCCCAGAGCTAGGCGCCACCTCTGTTTGTCCAGACAGTGGTAGCTGAAACTACTCCCCCATTTATTATTATGTAAATCCTTGCTGATGGGCTAGTCAGCCTGTTGCAGGGGGTCACCTGCCTAGGGCTATGCTATAGGGGCATCCCAGATCAATAAAAGCTTGGTGAGGCCTGAGCACAGGGAGAAGTCCTTCGGGACTTGCCGCCTGGTCCCCCAATATTGCAAAATTATCTCGTGTCTTTTTCTCTCATTTGCTGTGCGGCTCCTCTTTCAGATACCGAACCCTACTCCACGCGAGTCGTGGAAGGAAACACTCAACACCCTTACCCCCACCATACCCTACTTTCCCTCTGGAGATTAATAGTCTGATTGCTGTTTCTCTGCCTTTGGATCTGTCCCTGTTCATCAGTCTATGTTGTTCTCTATATTCCACAAATGAGTGAGATCATGTGGTATTTATCTTTCTCTGACTGGCTTATTTCACTTAGCATAATGCTCTCCAGTTCCATCCAAGCTGTTGCAAAAGGCAAGAGTTCCTTCTTTTTTACCACAGCGTAGTATTCCATTGTGTAGATGTACCACAGTTTTTTAATCCACTCATCTGCTGATGGGCACTTAGGCTGTTTCCAAATCTTAGCTATGGTGAATTGTGCTGCTATGAACATAGGGGTGCATATATCCTTTCTGATTGGTGTTTCTGGCTTCTTGGGATATATTCCTAGAAGTGGGATCACTGGGTCAAATGGGAGTTACATTTTTAGTTTTTTGAGGAAGCTCCATACTGTTCTCCACAGTGGCTGCACCAGTCTGCATTCCCACCAGCAGTGCAGAAGAGTTCCTTTTTCTCCACATCCTCTCCAACACTTGTTGTTTGTTGATTTGTTGATGATAGCCATTCTGACAGGTGTGAGATGATAACGCATTGTCGTTTTGATTTGCATCTCTCATATAATTAGTGACTTTGAGCATGTTTTCATATGTCTTTCGGCCTTCTGTATGTCCTCTTTTGAAAAGTGTCTATCTAGGTCCATTGCCCATTTGTTGATTGGATTGTTTATCTTCCTATTATTAAGCTTCATGAGTTCCTTGTAAATGTTGGAGATTAAACCCTTATCGGTGATATCATTGGCAAATATGTTCTCCCATGCAGTGAGCCTTCTTGTTGTTTTGTTGATGGTTTCCTTTGCTGTGCAAAAGCTTTTTATTTTAATGTAGTCCCATTTGTTTATTTTCTCTTTAGTTTCCATTGCCCTAGGAGCAGTATCAGAGAAGAAATTCCTTCAACATATGTTTGCTATTTCGCTGCCTATGGATTCCTCTAGTATTTTTATGGTTTCCCGTCTTACATTTAAGTCTTTTATCCATTTTGAGTTTATTTTTGTGTATGGTGTGAGTTGGTGGTCTAGTTTCATCTTTTTGCATGTATCTGTCAATTTTCCCAACACCATTTATTGAAGAGACTGTCTTGACTCCATTGTATGCTCTTGCCTCTTTTGTCGAATATTAATTGGGCACAGTGCTTTGGGTCAATTTCTGGGTTCTCTATTCTATTCCATTGATCTATATGTCCGTTCTTGTGCCAGTACCAAGCTGTTTTAAGAACAGTGGCTTTGTAATACAGTTTGATATCTGGTTTTGAGATCCCACCTACTTTGTTCTTCTTTCTCAGGATTGCTGCAGCTATTTGAGGTCTTTTTTTATTCCAGATGAATTTTTGGAATGTTCGTTCTATATGTGTGAAATATGCCATTGGTAATTTAATGGGGATTGCATTGAATCTGTAGATTGCTTTGGGTAGTATGGACATTTTGATGATGTTGATTCTATCAATCTATGAACACGGTATGTTCTTCCATCTGTTTATGTCTTCCTCTATCTCTTTTTTCAGTGTCCTGTACTCACTCATATTTCTTAGCCTCATTCTGAAACTCCACAAAAGAGCCCTCCTGCATGGTACCCTTAGGTCCCTCTGAATCCATATAATGCCTAACACCCCCAAAACCCACAGGTCTTACAATTTCTTATCTTAACTATGAGAAGACCCCATTCCTTCATGACCACCCCGCTCCTTTCCCACCTCTGCTTACCTACAATCCACCCCTGGCTGGGTCTCCGAGGATTTCAGCCAAATACCCTACAGGCCACAAGGAGTAGGAAAGGAAACAGAATCAGAGGAGAGATTTGTTTCCATTTCCCAGGTTCTGGTTGTTGATTCTCTAGGGACAGGCATGTGGAATTTGTAAAAACAACAAAAAAATCAAAGAATGAGGACACAAATGTCTGGCCTGAGCACCAGGTCACAGAGGGCAGGAAACAGGGTGGGCTGGTGCAGGCCTGCGGGTGGAGGACGTGACCTGGGAACTGCATGTTTATTGGAGTTGTTGAGTTTCACGACAGAATATCTTTTAAAACCTCTGTGATCTTATTCTTTGAACACGCAGTGAAAACACATGTGGAATGAGAACACCGTTCACACTGTCACGTCCTCTCAAATAATGGTCTCTCTGAGGTACCAGAAAGATATCTGGGCAGTCAGGTCATCTCCTGCTGTGGACGCCCAGTCAAGAGGAAGGCAGGAAAACTGGAAATATGTATTTTAAAGAAATTGGAATATTTGAAGATATGGGAAGGGTGGACACTGAGTAAGATGACAAATTCAGCTAATTAGGTGATGGCAAAGTAAAACATGCATTGGGCAAATTGAAAGAAGCAAGACAGACTCTATTCAAGACCAGCGAGACTGAGCTCAATACCCCGAAACAAAATGCTGGAAAAAAATTAAGAACAGAAGCAGGAATCATGGGCATCTGTGTTTGCTAACTGGCTTTACACACACAAAAAAGAAAACTTCTTATGAAATCCTGACAGGAGGTTACCTCTAGGTTATAAAGGTCCTCACACAAGTTAGATTCCTACCCTTTTTCAGAGACTGTGACACAGGGACTCCAGGAGGATTACATTTTAAGGGGATGGGGCCAGGCCCTTGAGACAGATATTCTCTGGGTCATAACACTGGCAAGAAGTTTTTAAGGAGACTTATGTATATTTCAAAAAGGCGCAGAAAAAAATCTGCAATTGCAAGTTGCAATTTGCATTATAAAGGAAATGCTCTAAAAAAATAGAGATTAGAGACCTGTAGTCAGGAAGAGCCTGTCTGAGGGAATACTAAGGCCTTGGGGGTCATAAAAAAACTCTGCTTTCTGCAGAGTTGAAGGAAACACAACTAAATTTCATTCAGTCAAGACCTGGTTTGCATCTCCACCAGCTACTGCAATTTATAAAGAGGTACAATTCCCAGCCATTTATAAACAGATGCAAAATAGCTGACAGACCCTGAACATAGTCAGGATCTGATCTCCCAGAAGGCTGTGCTTTCCATGAAGACTTTACATTGCTCTCTACAGTCACCTTCCCTTTGAGGAAATGACATCTTCAAGGAAGAAGAGTATTCTCCATCCTCCAACATGGCTGATGTCACTTGATTGGCCTGATTAAGTGACCTGAGTGCAGAGGAATGACATTCACCTCATAGTTTGCTCTGATGCAGGTGTTTCTATGAAACCTAAGATGGGAGTTCTAACAGCCTCAAGAGGCTTCTCTAGCCTGCAGTCTCTCTAGCTTTGGGGGATGCCCTCTTCTCCAAGAGATTCCAAAGGACCCCCTCAGGTCAAATTTAGCTCCATAAAGGGTGAGGTCATTTCTAATTCTGTGGGCATCTCACTGAACTGGGACATTTGAGCCAAAGCCTTGGTTGTATTAGCAACATTTCCAATTATAGCCTATTGACAAGGAGAATAGAGTCGCATTTAACATATGCAAATAAGTTTATTGCCATGAAAACAAAAATACCCAAGAATACTTAAGAAATTTTTTGGGGAGAAGTCAAGCAGGGAGAAAAAAAGGTCAGTATTGCTACCAACATGGGTGTCCTTCTGTGTATTTCTGTTGCCCACAACAGTGTCCAGGCACTCTCAACTGGCCCCCCTGAAAGAGGGACAGAGCTCAAATTCCTGTGACCTCATCACATACTCCCACCAGTCACCACACAACCACTGACCATCCTCTGAGGGACTCAGTGTCACCTCCGCTGTGGAGATGGTGCAACTAAAACAAATCAGAGGTGTGATCCGGTGTGGAATGTAGCCTTAAGTAAAAAATAATGACAATGTCAGCTCTGATTTTGTGTGTTTATTGACTCAGTGTAAGTCTTCTAAGGACTCTCCACCCCCACAACAAATCTATTTAAAGGGCACAAAAAATTATTCCGAGTTTAGTAACATATAGGAGAGGAGGAGGGTCACTAATATTTTACATCCAGCTCAACCGGCACACTTTCAGTAACTGATGGGGTTGGACACTTCACACTGGTAATTCCCAGCATCCTCCCTCCTGACAGGGTCTATGGTGAGGGTTCTGTTGTTCCAGGACAGCTTCATCCGCTCTGTCAGCCGCAGATTCATGCCATTGAAAAACCACTGGGTGGAGGCTGCATTTGTGTAGCAGGTGAGGACCACGGAATCCTTATGCTCCATGACTGTTGTGTTGCTGGCTAGGAGGGTGGGCACTCTCACAGGCTCTGCAGAGACACAGAGGGTATGGCTTATTGAGAGTGGGCTTGGGGTGTGGGGCCACAAAAATAAATCAGACATCTCAGGCTCTCCCATCCAGTGTAAGGTCACCAGAGGATGGTCCTGGCCTTTGGAGAAGGACCACTGTCTTTGTTCAGGTGACAATGTGTTAGAAGGAAGGCTGCACCTCTTCTCTGACCCCAGATCACACCAGGGTGACCCCTGACCTGTTCCCACAGACATCTCTGTAGTATCAGCACATGAAACCCTTTCCAGCCCATGAGTACAATAACCTCATCATCAAGATAAAACTTTCATGAGCTTTTATTGATTTTTCCCGTAAAACTTTATTTGACTTTAAATATGATCAGGTCCCGCTTTTCATGTAAACTTACATGTATGTTAGAGAATGTGGGCTTACCATATATGTCCATCTCTGGGGCCAAGGGAACTTTACAGAAAGTTAAAAAAAAAGCATTTACCCCTTGTTAAATAATTCATTAGGCAATAAAGATGGTCCACCCCAGTCTTTATGACCTTGGAGCAGAAGAAGTTCCATCTAAAGTTCCATTCCTTAGTCAGCACAGGACTTTATTTTCTGGCCAGCAGATTGAATAGCACCATGAACAAAATTGCTAGATAAGTGGTTATTATCTTTAAAAAAGTTGAAATATAAGGAAACTACTTGATATGGTCAAGGCCATACATGAAAGCCCATAGCTTACACAATACTCCATGAAGATACTCAGAAAATGTTACTAAGATCATGAACAAGACAAGATGCTGCTTTCCCCAATTTTCAACATAGTACTGGAAGTCCTGGCCAGAAAAACTAGGCAGGAAGATAAAATAAGAAATACCCAAATTGAAAAAAAAAAGAAGAAAATAATCTTTTAAGAAAGACAACATAATCTTACATGTAGAAAACCCTAAAGATTACCATACACACACACACACACACACACACACACACACACACACACACACACACACTTTGTTAGAAAGAATAAGTAAGGCAAAGTTACAGGAGACAAAATCAATAGCATCATTTCTCCTTAAGAAAACAGTTCCATTTACAATAGCATCAGAAAGAATAGCATACTTAGGAATAAACTTAATTCATAAAAAGGAAAATGTATACACTGAACATTACCAAGTGTTCCTGAAAGAAAGTAAAGAAGAAACAAATACATGAAAAGACATCCATGTCCATGGATTGGAAGACCCTGACTTATCTACATGTTTAACACAGTCCTTATAAAAACCCCACTGACTTTTTTTGCAGAAATAGAAAAATACATCCTAGAATACAAGTGGAATTTCAGTGGACCCCCAAATGGTCTCAACAATCTTACAGAAGAAGAATGAAATTGGAAGTTTCGTACTTTCTAATTTGAAAGCTTACTATAGAGCTAAAGTAACCAGAATAATGTGACAGGGGCACAAGAACTTCTATTCACCAAAAGACACAATCAAATGGTTTGGGTGGAGAGAGGACAGTCTTTTCAACAAATGGTGCTGAACAGCCATATCCACATGCAAAACAAATGCAGTGGACAAATGCAGACACAAAAATTCAGTCAAAATGGATGGAATCCTAAATGTGAGACCTAAAATTATAAAACTCTTAAGGGGAAGCATTATGACATTGGACTTGGCAATTATTTCTTAAACATGACACTAAGAACACAGGCAAAAAAATTAGATAAATTGGATTTTGTCAAAATGAAAAAATTTTGTTTAACAAGGGACAAAATAGAGTGAAAAGTGACCTATGGAATGAGATAAAATATTTTGAAAATCATATATAGGATGAGGGGTTAATATCTAGAATATACAAAGAACTCATATAATAAAACAACAACAACAGAACCAAATAACCTGATTTTAAAAATAGGCAAAGCATTTGAATAGGCCAGTAATGGCGAACCTTTTGAGCTCGGCATGTCAGCATTTTGAAAAACCCTAACTTAACTCTGGTGCCGTGTCACATATAGAAGTTTTTTGATATTTGCAACCATAGTAAAACAAAGATTTATATGTTTGATATTTATTTTATATATTTAAATGCCATTTAACAAAGAAAAATCAACCAAAAAAATGAGTTCGCGTGTCACCTCTGACACGCGTGTCATAGGTTTGCCATCACTGGAATAGGCATTTCTCCAGAGAAGATACACAAATGGCCAACAAACACAGGAAAAGATGTTCAACAACGCTATCACACAAAAATGCAAATCAAAACTCTCAAGGTTGGAGTTGTTGCTTGTGATGTTGGGTGTGGGTACCCGACTGTGCAGGTGACAGAGAGAACTGCCCTGTGTGGTACCTTTGAGTCCTCCAAAGGCTTCTTCAATCAGAGTTGGATCTCTCACCTCTCAGCCAACTTGAGTCCTTAAAAGAATATGGCAGATCTGTGTTGTGTATCACAAGACAAATGCATGAGGATCTGAGTGCTCAGGGAATGTAAGGCCTCCAGCTCTGTGAACGGGAGAAAGTACAGACTTTCTAAGGTGTCAGTGAAGTGTCAGGGTTTGATCATGGAAAGACATAAGACTGGGAGACAGAGCCCTGACCGGTTTGGCTCAGTGGATAGAGCATCGGCCTGCGGACTCAAGGGTCCCAGGTTCTACTCCGGTCAAGGGCATGTACCTTGATTGCGGGCACATCCCCAGTGGGGAGTGTGCAGGAGTCAGCTGATCGATGTTTCTCTCTCATCGATGTTTCTAACTCTCTAACCCTCTCCCTTCCTCTCTGTAAAAAATCAATAAAATATATTTAAAAAAAATACTGGGAGACAGAGACCACCCCAGATTTCTTCTGGATTTTCACAGACCAGCTGACTGCCTGGATGACAGGGGACCATTCCTTTCAGCTGCACAGACCTCCATTGCCCAGCCGAAGTGTGTTTCTATGAAACACCATTTTCAGAACATCCTACAGCCTGGGCTTTGAGGAGAAATAACACATGGGGACCAGGAGCAACCCCATGATCAGTTGACTCCTCAGGCCCCTGGGCCAAGAGGTGGAGCAGGCCTTCCCAGGTCAGTGTGAGCCAATAAATCATAGAGCAGAGTCTGAGGAATGAGCTAGAAAAGAGTGAGCACAGGCCAAAGCTTGGTCATTAAAGTCATTCTCCCTCTGCTGAGGGCAGATACAGAAAGGGTGAGGGACAGCAATAGGGTAGCATGGACTTGCTGGAATTCTGACCCTTGTGAACCATTTGTGTTTGGTGTTTATGCGATATAAATTTGGAAATAATTTAAAATCTTCCACGTGTGAAATTTATTATTAATACTCCAATTGTTGGAAGGACTATTTCTCTAAAGAGCAGCAAAGGATCTGAGACATGGGACAGGGACAGGGGGTTTGTCCTTCGTGGCCAGAATTTTAAGGACTCTGCATCCAGGTTCCAGTTTCTGAAGAGATTTTGGATCATTTATTTATTCATTCATTCAATCACCATTTATTTTTCTTAATTCATCAAAAGCAACTGAGTGTTACATAATGGTCCCTGAACTGGTTGCAAGTGTAGAGTGAGGAGTGAGCAGGCAAAGTCCTTTCCTTTATATCCAGTGGGAGTGACACTAACACATCAGGAAACAAATAAGTGGTTTCAAGTCCAGGGCAGGGAAGCGTGGATCAGCCACCTGAGGGGAGGGCCTGGACGTTCCAAGATTGACTCTGATTTTTACTGCAGGTAATTTGGTTTTGGAGTTAAAACAATTTAATTCTCCATTTCCTTTCCTTCCCCAGACCAGAATCTCTCCCTCTGAGCTGAGGATGCCTTAGAAGGAAGGATCTGAACCAATGGTTGGTCTAGGGAACCACAGACACCTAACAAGGCCCCTGGGGTGGAGGAGAGGATGGGGCTCTGGCTGCAGACAGACCTCAGGTGACTCTGATCAGCTGCTCATGGTCTGTGGGACTCTGTTTTAGTGACTGTATCTCCCTGTGCCTCGGTTTCCTCTCAATGAAGGCGGGTAGATATTTGGCTGCCAGGTTGTCAGTGTATTAATCATGAAATATTCACAGTATCTGACTAAAGATGGTCAAATAAGAGGTATCTCTTCTTGATCAACTCTAAGAGAGAATCCCCTCGGCTGGTCCCTGCTGAGTGAGAAGCTGCCAGGAGCATCTATCTGCCTCTGTTCCTCCCTGGGGATACTTACCTTTCACTTCACTCTCCTAAGTCCCCCAGAATAGTCATCTAATGACCTGGGGACCTTATCTAGCTGTGCTCTTCACACATAGCCTCAGGTGAAGGACCAGACTCCATTTCTGCCCAGATGTAGCTTTTTGGGACTGAGCCCTGGCTGATGACCAGCTCAGAAGCCTTGTGACTCAGACACTCAGGAAACCATTGAACTCAGTCAGCCTTTCCCAGGAGCTCAAACCCAACCTGTCACACACTCCCCAGGGTCCCTGGGGTCAGGAGCTCTAGGAGAAGGGCCTGGGAAGGGGCTTCCTTAGCTGACTTACTCTATGAGGATTCCATGCCAGGCTCTGACCTAGCCCTGCAGGGTCTTTCCCAGGGTCATGGTCATGGGGAGGGGCCCAGAGGCCTGGACTGAGACTGGTCTCCCTCTGCTGAGTCACTCCTATCAGACTGGCCCTTCTCTCTGTGGAGAATGCCTGCAGGGCTGGGATCCGGGATAGGAACTCTGACCTTAGGAAGTTTGTCTCCACTGTGTGTGTCCTGCACTAAATGCCCAAACCCAACCCTGAATGTGAGGCAGAGGGGGATGGAGCAGGGTCCAGGGCTATTAGTTCTGTGTGTGAAGTGAAATTCACCCACCCAACACCCAGAGGTCAGAGAGTAATCACTCACGGTATACATGGAGCCGTCCAAATCCTATTTCTTTTTTTGAATCTCGAAGGTGGGCTACTATGGTGTAGTATCCTGTGTCCTTCCGTGTGACCCTCTTTAACAGCATGGATCCATCACTGTTTACTTTCTCTCGACCGCTGTATGCAGGCCCTAATGCATGTACTCTTAAGTCCACTATAATAGATGCAATATTCCGATGGGATCTCGCCCCTTCCCCTCTGTACCACAGAAAGCCTACAGCATCTGGAGGCTTGTTGCGGATACGCAGAAGCACATCCTTCCCTTCGGCAGCATTGGTCGGCACAATAGCGAGCTGGGCAATGGTGGGCGGGCTCCAGAAGGTTAAGAGTGAGACTAGAAGAGAAAAGAGAAATGGGTCAATATTTGGATCTATGTATTGGAATGGGAAGATGCGGCCCTTTATACTGAGCAAGTCTCTTCATCTCTTCATCTCTTCGCCTTTGTCTGTGTGTGAGTGTGTGTGGTGCCCATGGCCAAGGTCAGCAGCACGGCCACCAATACGTCAGCACCTCAGAACCTGTTATTTTTGTTAGTTTGTTTTGAATACTCTTCCCCAGGTGTCTGCCTGGCTCACCTTCTCACTGCCCTAAGACTCCTGATGACACTCAGAATGTCCTTGGGAGACACCTGTGGTGACCACCTCCTCTAAAAACCCGATGTCTCCATTTTCTGACCTGTCCCTGTTCTCTCCACCTCATGGAACATGTGGGTCCCTGACCTGACATCTAGATCTTTCCTTGTCTGTCTCCTCTCTGTAGAAGGTGAGCTCCGTCAGGGAAGAGGCTTGTCTGATCTGTTGTACCCCAGGGCCTGCAGCAGGCTGAAATGCCTGTGGGTAAATGAATGAATCCCAGGGTCCTGCACCCTCCTGGGGTGCATGTGCCCATTTCTGAGGTTGGTGATAAAGACAACGCGTAGTGTCCCTGGTGAAGTTTTTCTGGTGTCTCCTCACATAAATTGTTATTATTATAATCAGTCTACAAAATTCAATACTCAGTAAGGAATAGCTTAAAAAATGAACAGCAATCAAGGTTTTCCTGCCCTTCACCACTTTCAAATCCTGAGATGTTGTGGTTGTGAAACTCCCTCCCCAATCCTGCTCTGCTCCCCTGCCCTTTCCCTTCAGGTCCACATATCAGCCTCCCTTTTCTCCCAGAGGCTGTCCTCAGGAGATCTTAACCAGTCTCTGTCCCCCATCCTCCCATCCACCCCATTGTCCCCTCCTTACTGGCCAGCAGGAGCCCCTGCCAGGGGACAAGCCCTCTGTGAGCAGAGGCTGAAGGGGACTCCATGGTGACTGCTGCCTTCTCTGTCCCTCCCTCTGTGGGAAGAACTTGGGCTCCAGTAAGGCTCACAGGCACTGCTCTCCGGACGGGTAGGATCTGCTGTCCATCCTCCCCATGTGCTGAGCCTCCTCCTGGGGCCAGATCACTTCTCTCCTCACGTGGGCCAGGGTGGGTTCTGTGCTTAGGAAGCTCACTTGCCCTCCCCTCTTTCCTGCCACCCCTGTCTCCTCCTTGCAGTTTACCTTTACTCTATATTTCAGTTCTCTGGGAATTGCTGAGGCCTCTGAACACACACACACGCACACACACAGGCACACGGCATCCAGAAAAGCACTAGCCTGGGGCGTCCAATTCCTGGTCACTCTCCCTGGCTCCCTGGTGCCTGCACAGTAGCCTCCCCCATAGCCCTCTCTCTTTCACATTTGACTTTTCTCCTCAAAGAAGGAGTTCTGCGGCCACCCCAGGAAAATTGTCACAGGGGTGTCACCGCTGCTGTGCATCGGATCTCCTGTGAAACTTTGTAAAGATTGCAATGCCCAGTTAACATATTTAAAAAGCTGCTTGAGCCCTGACCAGGTGACTCAGTTTGTTGGAGCATGGTTCCATGCACCAAGAAGGTTGTGGGTTCGATTCCTGGTCACAACACATACTTAGGTTGCAAGTTTGATCCTGGTTGGGACAACAGATTCTCTCTCTCTCTCTCTCTCTCTCTCTCTCTCTCTCTCTCTCTCTCTCTCTCTCTCTCTCCCTCCATGATGAGGAGACACCCCTCCCCTTCTCCTGTGCACAGGGAGGGTCTCCAGATCCTGTTAAAATGCAGATTCTGACTCAGCAGGTGTGCGGTGAATCATAGACTCTGCATCTAACAAGCTCTCAGGTGAGGTGGATCTTACTGGCCTGTGGATCCCACTTGCAACAGCAAGGCTGATGGAGGCACATGGCCTCCTGTGAGGGTGACCCACTCATCCCAGCATTGGCCTCTGCTGTGTCTTGGTCTTGGGTCTGTCAGCACCACACAGAGAGCACCACAGGCCCCAAACTGGGGATTATTTCTGTTTGTGACACAGAAACCCAGCTGGGCACCAGGTCTTCCCTGTGTTCTCAAATGTGCTGGGAAGATGGGATTTCCTCCCAGCAGGAAGGCCACAGAGGTGACTGTGGGGGTGAGAAGGCGTCAAGCTGGGTGACGACTGCAGAGGGGACCCTCCCTCTATCTCAGGTTGTCACCAGCCTGCCCTTTGCTTCCAGGGACAGAGACCCAGAACTGGATGTCTCAGAAGGACCTGCAGTTCCTGAGTGTGAAGGGGAAGGTGTCCTGTGTGTCTTGGGAGAAGAAGACGGTGGTAGGAGTTCATGTGCTGTGGGCTCCCAGGTACGTGGGGAATGGTTTCAAGGAGACCCTCCCTCTCTATTTCTGTTGGTTGAGCCTGTCCATGTGCTCCCTGACTGTTGGGGCAGTCTCTGACCTCTGCTTGGGAGACTTGCTTGTGGTCCCCTCTCCTTGCCCATTGGTGGTGCCAGGCATGGGTTGGGGACCAGCACAAAGCCGCTGAGAGAGCTGGTGCTCCTCTGTCAAAAGAAGAAACATCCAAACCTGTGGAGAACTTTTATGAATTCATTTGAGCCACAGTGAAATCATAGGCCTGTTAACAGGGCCTCAAATCCTGCAGAGAATGGCCATTTTGCAGCTTATTTTATACATTACTAGTATAATCAAAGGAGAAGATGAAAATAGTTGCATGAAATCCATTAGGAGGTTAGAGAAAGTATATTGAGGAAATCCCTAAAGTTAACAAAAGGCAAAAGGGAGAACATATTGTTTTTTACTTTGGTGGGCCCAGGATCATTAACAGTTACAGCATGTAGAGAGGTTATGCAAGGAACCAGGTAATATAAGGAGTCTGTGGTATCCTATGCTGATCCCAGAGGTGGTGTCTTCAAATTGTCTTGCAAAGAAAAAATTACTCTGATATGTCAAAGGTATGTTATCCAAGATGCATAGAACAGGGAACAGGGCTCATTTAAGGTAAAGTCTGACCTTTGCTAACAAAGCTGTAGGCCTGGGACATGACGACCTGCCATCACCTGCCCTGTTAGGAATTTGTGATCAGACCACACTGTGCAGTTACTTTGGGTCACTGAGCTTGTCAGTCCTGCCATGTGCCCCCATGGGCTTGTCAGGCTTATTTTACAGTCCCCCTTTTATTCACAGGCCCTAGAAGTAGCAGGTGGGATGGAGCAGGCACGAGGGCGGGGTCCAAAAGGGCCTGTGGGAGCAGGGGATGGAAATCAGGCTCCTTCTCCAGTTCCTTAGGCAAAGCCAGGTTCATATGTGAATTCCCTGTGTTGTCTGTGTGTTTAAATGTCGCCCCCTGGAGAGCAGGAGAAGACCTGCAGCCAATGTCAGGTGCTGCACCAGGGATGCTGACCAGAGGGTAGGAGATGACCCTGACACCTGAACAGAGGTAGGCTTTGGCCTTCAACCTGAAAAACCAGTCAGTCGGAGCCCAGTCACTGTGGGTCCCAGGCCTCCTGACTCCATCCCAGAGCAGGGTGAGCCCAGTGAGAAGACAGGCATTGTCCAGAGTATTATGAGTCCAGTGTCCTGAGAACTTCCCCCTCTGGTGGATGTGCTGTTTCAGGAGGAGCTCTCTGTCCCAAAATTTTCAAAGGAAGGGCCTGGTGATTCTCTTCTGAGGCTTTTAGTAGAGTGTCTCGAACTTGGAGGGCGGATCCCCCAAATGCCCTGTGTGTCTCCATCGTAGCTTTGGGGTGTTGCATCCAAGTCATCTGTGATTCTCTCCATCATCTGCTATAGGCCTCTATGCATGGCTTGGAGCTGGAGTAGCTCAGATGGAGACTTAATCAGAGAAGCCTGTAGGTTCTTGTTAGGGCAGTGATGGTGAACCTTTTGAGCTTGGCGTGTCAGCATTTTGAAAAACCCTAACTTAACTCTGGTGCCGTGTCACATACAGAAATTTTTTGATATTTGCAACCATAGTAAAACAAAGACTTATATTTTTGATATTTATTTTATATATTTAAATGCCATTTAACAAGAAAAATCAGCCAAAAAAATGAGTTCACGTGTCACCTCTGACACGCATGTCACAGGTTCGCCATCACTGTGTTAGGGGAGGGGAGCCCCATGAAACCCTCAGCCCCTCTGACATAGAAGCAACTCCAGATCCTGGGATCTCCTGTCCCATCCTGTACAGGAAGTCTCCCAGGACACCATGGGATGATGAGATGCCTTTAGGGATGATAGGCAGGTGTACCACAGTCCAGGGACCTTGGGGATGGGGAGTTATCCCCTAATTCCTTTGAGTTCAGTGTGGGCACCCTCCTCCCCTAGTAGTAACTCTACCTGGGGTGGAGGATCCAGGTGTCTGCCAGGTCAGGGATCTGCTAACAGTGAGAGGTCAGACCTCCCTTTATTCCCTTAAAATCACAACGCTCCCTATCTCCACCTTGTGAATGATCCCTAATCTACCCAAGGGCCTGTCCTCCCTCCTGGCTGTAAGTGGGGTAAAGACCCAACCCTGGCCCTAGCTGGGTTTGCTCAGTGAGTAGAGTGTTGGACTGAAGACTGAAGGGTCCTGGATTTGATTCCTGGTCAAGGGCACATGCCTGGGCTGCGGGCTCGATCCCCAGTGTGGGGCATGCAGGAGGCAGCCGATCAATGGTTCTCTCTCATCATTGATGTTTCCATCTCTCTCTCCCTTTCCCTTCCTCTCTGAAATCAATTAAAATATATATTTTTTAAAAAGACCCAACCCTGGGACATCCCCAGGCACTTGCTGGCCTCCTCTCAGGCTGACAGCAATGTCTTCGTGTTGATAAGGAACATGCTCGCATTGCAAGCATCACACAGGTAACAGGCTTCCATTGGGTGGTCTCCTCACCATTAAATGAGTGTTTACTGAGCATCTGTAATGTGTCAGGCCCTGAGATGGGCCTTGGGACCTGAGCGAACAGGACATAGGTGGGACCTGTGCTCATGGAGTTTGCCTTGTAACAAAGACAGGCTCCCAGAGAAATCACAGCACCGAGGACTTAATCAAAATCCTGAGAAGGGCAGTGAAGAAAAAGGTCTGGTGTGTCCAGAGCATGTACCTGAGTCTCAGCTGGACTGTGAATCTCAGAGAGCACTTTTGAAGTGTAAATGGCCATTCGCCCCTTAAAGGACAGAGGGTGGTGAGGAAGAGCTGCCTGCAGAGGACTGGCCTTTGGTGGGCAGAGGTCAGGCTGTATGGAGGAACTCACAGAGTCTAGAGTGCGCAGCCTGGAGAGCGAGAAGTGCTGTGGACTCGGTGATGCTGGTGAGGTAGGACCTGCTGGTCTTGGAAACTGCTCCAGTGGGGTCAGCAGCCCCCTGGAGAGGCTGCAGGTCATGGAGTAGCTTTGCTGCCCTCTGGTGTACAAGCAGAAAAATGAGCAAAAAAGGTCATGCTACGTTTTGGTATTTTTTTTGAGTTTTGTATTTTCTACTCAACTTATATCTTAAGCAATATATCATGTGTATATATAATTTTAAACATATTTACTGAGTTAAAGTTGACATATAATACACTTAAAATATTAAAGGTATATAATTTAATAAGTTTTGCCAGATGCGTGCACCAGAGAAGTTGTTACAATGAAGATAATGAACATGTTCTTCACTCTTAAAGCCTCCTCAGGCCCTCTTAAAATTTCATTGTTCTTCTCTCCCACCTTCTTCCCTAGTGTTAAGGAAACTCTCATCAGTTTTCTGTCATTATAGATGAGTTTACATTTTCTAGACTTTTCTAAATTTGAATCATACAATATGTAATATTGGGCTGTGGTTGGCTTCTTGACTCAACAAGATTATCCTGAAATAGTTATTTCTGTTTTATCCCTTAGTTCTATTTCATTATGGGGATGCTCCAAACTTGCTTATCCATTCACCCATTCATGGTCATTCGTGTTATTTCCCAGTTTGGGTTATGACAATAAACTTGCTATGAACATTTGTACAGAAAGGTCTTTAGCACAAAGAATTAGGTGCTTGTAAAACCATTGAAGGGCTAGAGAAATGGAAGTTAGGAAGTTGCCACTGGAAGTCTGGTTTCAAGGTCCCACTGCC